CACCAAGGATATTTACTTTTACATCGGAAACCACCCCTAAAGTTTGAAATTGAAGCATTATTTCAACTAGTTATGCTGTACACAGACACAAAAAAAAAATAAAAAATATTCCATAAATAAAAATTACTACATTTTAAAATAGTACTTACATGATACTAGATTGAGCAATAGGTGTATTCTTGGTCATAATCCCTTCTAATTTCAAATTGAAGGATAAAAAGGAAGAATAGRACCGATTTGTTTCAAAATTGCTTAAGTTCATATTTAAAGAACTAAATAAATTAGATCCTGTAGTTTTACTTGAAACATTCTCTACTTGTAACCGCATAAGGCGGACACCTAAAAATATAAAGTATTATTTAGTAGATAGTTTGAATGTTATTATATAATATTAGTATAGGTATGGTTTTACTGGATTTAAACCAGAGTTGTTTTTTCTTTATAGATGCTTTTTAGTTTTTGTATAGGTACCTATTTTCTCTTTAAAATAACATTCGTGATAACTAGTGATATAATTTTTTTTTTTTTTTGCTTAGATAAATATACTTGGAATTGGCACAAATACCAAATATTTTAAAAGAGAAAAAATATGGGTCATAAAGAAATCTTTAAGGAGAAACCTTATTTTTATTTTTTGAAATTTATAAAGGGTAAAACAATTATTAAGATGATTTTAAGTGCAATTAGTCATAAATATTACTAACTTATTGTTGTTCAAAGATTTAAGAGCAAAAAAAATACTAAATAAATGAAATACATTAGATTCTAATGAGAGATAAACATATTTTATACCTTTAAATATTTCAGTGGTTTTAAAATACTGAATTTCGGAATAATTCTAGTTTATTAGGAAATTATTAGAAGTACATAATATACAGCTACTAGCTAGTGTGGTCACTTACTCGCAGCACATGCTCGGGCAATTAAAATAAAAAAGGATATTTTCCTGTTATGCGAGACTAMCTTGTTTTTTGACAACATCACAATCCTGTTATCTAAGACTACCAAAATGGTATTTTCCTGTTATACGAGACTATGTCTATTTTCGCGACTACCACCCAAGACTATCTCCGTTATTGTGGCCATCACAATTAGCTGAATGATACCTATCCATAGGCTGCATTTTAGCGTCGCAAATATATTATACATAAATATAAATATAAAATAATGAGTTTTTTATTGATATTTATTAATTTGTATATGTGTCCATCATTTTTTACTATTTTATTTGTGGATTTATCATTTTTACATTTATTATTTAAAATAATATAATATTATTTTACCATTTTTGATCGTGTTTGGTGACGACATTAATGTTATTTCTTTTTTTCATATATATTATATAGTTATAATTTGAATATATGGCCATAATTTTTGTATTTATAATTTTTATATTTACGCCAAGTCTGGCTGTAGCACCTCCAGTGTGCGCCGTGAAAATTATATTACAAATGATTTCAATATTTTCTTTTTCTTTTTCTTTATATATAAATAAAATTCGAATGTGGCCATCTTTGCAATACCTACAGATTAAAAAAAATTAATTAAAATCGCCCCCGCATGTACGACATTCTCTTAATAAAAATAAAAATAAGGTAGTCTTAGATAACAGGATTGTGATGTTTCACAAAAAAACAGCGGTAGTCGCAATAACGGAGGTAGTCCCGATAATAGCCGTAGTTTCGTATAACAAGAAAGTACATCAAAAAGATCTCTCAATTTGTTATGTAAAAGCACATATTATATAGTATTATACCCAGCAAAGATTACCATGAATTGTGTGTAGTCCGAGTTACTTTTTTTGCTACAATATTTTAATACTTCAATTTGCTATAATTTTGAAACTAGGCCTGACCAACAAATTTTGATGTCACATTAATTATTTTTGAAAAAACTATACATACTATAGGTTATACATATAGGTACTACTATAGGTACTATACACAGGAATAAATAAAAAGATTGAAAAATCACAAGGGAGCTAAACTAAAATCATGCCTTAATTTCTTTAGAAGAGCTTCATTTCAAGCATAATATAACTAAATAGGTACTTCATTTGCATTAAAAAAAATAATATATAGGTAGAAATTTAATCACACAACAAATCAAAAATTAATTTAGTATAACCAARTTATATGAGTAGRTGATATATTTGTAGTACCCAATTGTATCTAAATAATAATATAATAAGTTTATCTTAATTATCTGCAAACATTTGTTTCATTTTAGTCTAATCTAAACTTATACTTCCAACAGATATAGATTAAGTTACTAACCAGATATAATAGAACCACAAGCTCGTTTAAACATGGTTTTGAAAGTTTTTGCAATTGTCACCTGTAAATTAATAATTATAATACATACTTAAGACTGTGGTTAATTAAAAAACTGATAGTGGATAAATACTACTCACTCGATATCAAACCTTTTATATTTTTTGTATTTTCAAGCAGAATAATATGGATTACCTCCTAATCCTAGAAGATCTACATTCTACAATTTTGTCAATTTTACTATTTTATCAAGTTATCACTTTTATCACTTATATTATATGGGTGGCTGGCAGCTGCTGTTGACGTAAGTTGTCCGAAAATTGATAAGAGTGGTTATATAATGATCTGCAGAGTCGTGGTTATACGACGGTTACCTTGTGGTTACAGTGTGACCAACATGAGGTGGCGTTGTACAGCAAAGTGTAGACTGTACCCTGTTCATATTGACATTTGTCGCCTTGTCGGATAAGCCATATTACCACATTACTGTAGTCCACGATTAAAGATTTAATCGTGCTGTAGTCGATGGGCAACCATACTATTTTAAATCGTACCTCTAAGGGAGTATGTTTCATAGATAATAAAGAATGGATAGGCCATAGGCCACGGCTATGCTTATAACATTTAGGTGCCGCGTTCYGAAAGAGCAGATATCTTCTGTCTCACAAAGGTGCCTGTTATCTCGACTTGTGAAAATCTAATATTTTAGCCCACCACTTATTTTATTTATTTACAAAAGTTAAAGTGAATTTGTATAAACGTTATACAAATTTGTTTTCCCATAATTTTTATTATAATTTCACTTACTTTTATAATATATTTATATATGCATATTTATATTGTCTATAATATTATACTTACATACATAAACAAATACCTGAAAACTATATAAATTAAATTGGAGAATTGGACTTTATATCCACTATGGTACTCGGGCACTATTCACTCTTAAATATTTTATAATTTATAAAATTTATAAATAAAATGTTCAAAAATATTTTAGAAATAAATACAAAATTTCATGAAAAAAAATCATGGATTAGAAAAAAAGCACCTACTTTAATAAATAATTGTTTGAGAACATATGATAAGGAATTATGGCCTATCCATTCTTTATTATCTATGGTATGTTTAATGTTTTGTAATAACAATACTTGAGATTAATAACAAACAACATAATATTATTGATTTAGCACACTCCAATATTATTATTAAGTATTATTATTTATTTATGTGCATAAAACTCCGTACTCCGTAGCAACTAGAGCTGTGGCCTGTGAAATGAAGTAATAATTTAGCATAATAAATAATGCGCATACAATTAAACCCGTATTGCCCTTCTTTTGTCTTTGTTTTTCGAACTCCTCATTTGTGACATTGGTGTTTTTTATATCACAATAGCACTACATGTAATCGATGATTGTATTTCCTATAAATACCTACTTTGTACTTCGACAGACCACAATAATTTTATTATTCCACCATATTGAATGTTCTTTTGAGTAGCCGCACTAATAGGTTACGTATTGTGTTTATTAAAAGTATAAAAAAATTTATAAAACTGTCGAAAATGGTTCTTGTTCAGTTAATTTTTCTATTAATACTTATTAATCAATTTTACAATAATGTGGAATGCATATCGTTCTTCCATTTTACACAGGATCCACCACCAGTCAGGGACATTGCCCTAATGTCTAGATATATTGTTCATAATTCAGGTAATATTTCAAACTTATTTTGTATTTTAATAGGAAATTAATTTTATAAATACCTAACCAAGAACTKAAGAACCTATTAAATGTGTAACTGCCAAGTGCCAATTGTTTTATTAAAAATTGTTAATGATTAATAATGTTTATTTAAAAAAGTATAATTTTTTTATAGGTAACTATATTAAATTAACAGTGTTGAGTAGTAACGTAACAAAAGTAACGCGTTTCTATAACAGTGTTACTTTGCTTGTAACGTGTTACGTAATTTCATTAGAATTATTTTCAAGTAACGAAAATGTAATAGAAATTACTTTTGATAAGTAATTTCTATTGAATAACGCGTTACAGTTTCGAATTATTAAGTTATTTAACCTTTTACAAATTGAAAAATATATATATATATCTATAATGCAGGTATTAAAATGTTTACCAATCTAGTATAGTAATATATTATATATATTTATTAAAGCTCTTTATACAGCTGATCTCACAATTTTGAATTAAATGACATTAGTAAAGAATATTTTTATTAAATACAACACTGCTTTACCATCCAGTACTTCTGTAAAACGGTTGTTTAGTGTTTCAGGGAACATTTGTTCTAAAAAAAGGTCGCGTATGAGTGACAAAAACTTTGAAGATATACTATTGTGTAAAGTTAATTTAAAACATAAATAAATATAAAATAATAATATTGTAATATATTGATTTCTTTTTCAAATTATATCTATTTACTATAAGTAATGTATTTCTAGTAACATTATTGCCAGGCATAATGATGATAATATTGTAAAGAAATATAAAAATAATATTTATTTTTTTTGTAACGAGAAAGTAATGAGTCACTTTTCAATTTGAAAAGTAAAGTAATTTCATTGCAATTTTATTAGAGTAACGAATAAAGTAACTTTATTACATTTCTCTCTAAGTAACGAGTAAAGTAACTTCATTACTGTTTAAAAGTAATTTACCTAACACTGTGAATTAATTATAATATCTAAGAAAAATAACATGTTTAAAGTTATGTATTTATGTACATACAAATGATTATTACTTATTAGTTATAACATATTGCATTTTAACATTTTATATTTTATACTAATATACGTGCTATACTATTATATTAGAATTTTTTAAAGTGTGTAATATGTTTATTATTTATAAAAAATATTGCATAAAACCAAATTTATTTTTATCTTATAAAAATATTATGTTTATGGTTTAGCTGTTATAGGTATATTATAAATATTATATTATTATTTTATTTAAATATTTTATAAATTTACCTATTAAATGATTTTTTAAATGTCTGTCTTTAAATAGATTGGGCAACACTATCTTATTTGGGAAACCAGTCATTTATGGATGGTATGCCAATGGGTAGGGTCTATTCAGTTAGTGACGGAACAATCAATAATAGTTCCGGTGTTCCCTACATTATGGCTTCACCAATGGACTTATCATTTCAAGATGTTATGGTAAATATTATAGTTTACCATACATCATGTCAAAAATGATTGATACATATTAAATAATGAATTTGGTAAAATTTACTATGTTTCGTGTCATAATAAAAATAAATTATGGACATGCTAGTATTGTTATTGAAATTGGTTGTTCTTTATTTTTCAGAAAACAAAAAAATGTTCTCTAGTGTTGAGTTTGGCACAGTCTGGTTATTGCAATAAAAAATCTTATGACCCTGAAGATCCACGATGTGCACAGCTTACATTGACTGGAAAGTTTGTTAAGGTACCTAACCTAATCTCAGAACATCAAATTTTTTTCTGAAATTTTAATTATTCTATCACAAATATTTTTTTAATTAATTTTAGTTGGATAAAACTGATTCTGAATGGAATGTAGCCAAAACAGCTTTATGGACCAGGCATCCTGTTATGCGTAAATGGAACATTCTTGTGCCAGGTAAATTAATTATTTAAGAAATGTTTTTTAATTTATAAAATAAACTTTATTTTATTGTCTTAGGTCACAAATGGCAATTTGCAAAAGTAAATATTGAACATATTACACTCATTGATACATTTGGTGGTCGTAAGTATCCAACTATTGCTGAATATTTCAATGCAACTCCAACTTTCAAATATTGGCCCAAATCAAGACACACAATTATTACAGTTAAAGAAAATGTCATTATTGATGAAGAATTTTAAAATTATATAGGTGCTCTTTTTAAAATAAAATGTATGAATATTATATTAAAAATGGCCAATCATAACTTATAGACTGATTTATGGTATAAATGTATTATTCATTAATTCATATATATACTGGGTGATTCTTTTTTCAAACAATACTCATTATTTTAAAAAGTATTGACTTTTTTCAAAATATTTTTTATCCTTATCGTTTTTTTTGTTTTTTACTTTTTAGAATGACAACATAGAGTTTTAATTTCATATTCCAAAGCAGAATATTTTTCTAAGTATTTTGATTTTTATGAATTTAGGACGAGTAGTTTTTGAGTTATAACTTTATAAGTATTTAAAGTTCAGACAAGCGGAGTAGTGAGCAAACATTTTGCAGGGTTACCCCGTACCACCCACTCTGCCAATCTAAACTTTAAATACTTATAACTCATAAACTACTAGCCCTAAATTCGATTTTTATGAATCAAWATACTTRGAAAAATATTYTGCTTTGGAATATGAAATTAAAACTCTATGTTGTCATTCAAAAAAGTAAAAAAT